GATTCTCTCAATTGATGCAGAAAAAGCTTTTGATAACATCCAGCATCCCTTTATGATCAGAACACTTAAGAAAATTGGTATAGAAGGGACATTCCTTAGACTGATAGAGACCATCTACAGCAAACCTACAGCCAACATTGTATTGAATGGAGTTAAACTAAAATCATTTCCACTCAGATCAGGAATTAGGCAAGGGTGCCCATTGTCTCCACTGCTCTTTAACATTGTAATGGAAGTTTTAGCCATTGCCATTAGGGAAGAAAAGGTGATTAAGGGCATCCATATAGGGTCAGAAGAGATTAAACTTTCACTTTTCGCAGATGATATAATTATATATCTGGAAAACACCAGGGATTTGACTACTTCTAGAAGTGATCAAGGAATATAGCAGCATCTCAGGTTACAAAATCAACACTCATAAATCTGTAGCCTTTATTTATACCAACAATAGTCAAGCTGAAAAAACAGTCAAGGACTCTATTCCATTCACAGTAGTGCCAAAAATGAAATATTTGGGAGTTTACCTAACAAAGGACACAAAAGATCTCTATAAAGAGAACTACGAAACTCTAAGAAAAGAAATAGCTGAAAATGTTAACAAATGGAAAAATATACCATGCTCATGGCTGGGAAGAATCAACATTGTTAAAATGTCCATATTACCCAAAACAATATATAATTTTAATGCAATCCCTATTAAAGCTCCACTGTCATATTTTAAAGATCTTGAAAAAATAATACTTAATTTTATATGGAAACATAAAAAACCTTGAATAGCCAAGACATTACTCAGTAATAAAAACAAAGCAGGAGGAATCTCAGTGTGTGACACACATTTTGGGGGCAAGACACAATTATAAGAGGGACTCTACCTAACAAATGCAATCAGTGTAAACTGGTTTCTTGTACCCTCAATGAATCCCCAACAACAAAACACTCAAACTGTACCTCCCATTTGATCCTGCAATCCCTTTACTGGGCATCTACCCAGAAGAAAAATATCCTTTTATCATAAGGACATTTGCACTAGACTGTTTTTTGCAGCTCAATTTATAATCGCCAAAATGTGGAGACAGCCTAAATGCCCATCACCCAGGAATGGATTAACAAGCTGTGATATATATATGTATATATATATATACACATATATAACAAGCTGTTATATATATATATATACACACACACTATTCAGCCATTAAAAAATATGATACGTCTTTTGTATTAAACTGGATGGAGGCAGAACACATTATTCTTAGTAAAGCATCACAAGAATGGAGAAGCAAGAATCCTATGTACTCAATTCTGATAGTATGACAATTAATGACCTAGTACATGGTGAGAGGTGGGGGAAGGGGAGGGCAGAAACAGGGAAGGAGGGAGTGGGTGGGGGGGTCACGGGGTGTGACACACCTTTTGGGGGTGGGATACAATTATAAGAGGGACTTTACCTAACAAATGCAATCAATGTAACCTGGTTCTTTGTACCCCCAATGAATCCCCAACAATAAAAAAAAAGAAAGAGCACCCAAGAAATGTAGTTTTCTGGAAAAGAAAAGCAACATTGACAAACAGCTAAACTAAGAAAAAGGAGAAAAGAGCAAATAAATAAAATCAGAAACAAAAAAGGAGATGTTATTGCTGATACCACAGAAATACAAAAGATTATTAAAGATTAAGAACAACTATGAACACAAAGTAGAAAACCTAGAGTAAATAGATAAACTCCTAAACACATAACTGCCCAAGCCTCAACCAGAAAGAAATAGAAAACTTAAACTGACCAATAACAAATAATGAGATTGAATCAGTAATTTTTTTAAAATCTCCCAACAAAGGAAAGCTTTACTGCTGAATTCTACCAAACTTCTAAAGAACTAAAACCAGTTCTTCTCAAACTTCTCCAAAAAAGCAAGGGAGAGAATTCTTAACTCATTCTACAAGGCTATCATTATCCTGGTACCAAACCCAGGCAGGATTCAGCAAAAAGGAAAACTACAGGCCAATATCCCTGATGAACACAGATGCAAAAATCCTCAGAAAAAGTACTAGAAAACTGCATCTGGGCACAGTGGCTCATCCCTGTAAAACTAGCACTCTGGGAGATTGATGCAGGTGGATTTCTTGAGCTCAGGAGTTCAAGACTGGCCTGAGCAAGAACAAGACCCTGTCTCCACTAAAAATAGAAAAATTAGCTGGGCATGGTGGCAAGCATCTGTAGTCCCAGCTACTTGGGAGGCTGAGGCAGGAGAGTTGCTTAAACCCAGGAGTTTGAGGTTACTGTGAGTTAGACTGATGCCATAACATTCTAGCCTAGGCAACAAAGTGAGACTCTGTTTCAAAAAAAACTGTAAAACTGAATCCGATAACACATCAAAAAGATAATACCCCATTATCAAGTGGGATTAATCTCAGGAATACAGGGATAGTCCAACACGTGCAAATCAACAAATGTGATACATCACATCAACAGAATGCAGGACAAAAACTACATGGTCAGTCATCTCAATAAATACAGAAAAAGAATTTGATAAAATTCAACATCACTTACTTATAAAAACTCTCAAACTAGACATAGAAGGAACATAGCTCCTCACAATAAAGGCCATACATGACCAACCCCATAGCTAATGTTATACTGCATGACAAAAAGCTGACAGCTTTTTCCCTGAGTGCTGGGACAAAACAAAGAGGCCTGCTATCACTACTGTTATTCAATACAGTACTGGAAGTCCTAGGAAGAACAATTAGGTGAGAGAAAGAAATAAAAGGCATCCAAATTGGAAAGGAGAAAGTCATATTGTCCCTGTTTGTGAACAACGTAATGTTATATGCAGAAAAACTTAAACACTCTCCAAAAAAACTCTTAGAACTGATAAATTAATTCAGCAAATTTTCAGAATATAAAATCAAAATATAAAAATCAGTAGAGCATTTCTATACACTGATAATGAACTAGCTAGAAAAGAAATCCCATTTACAATAGCTACCCAAAAAAAAAAAAAACCTAGAAATAAATTTATCCAAGGAGATAAAAGATCTCTACAATGATATCTGTAAAACATTGACAAAGGAAATTGAAGAAGACACAAAAAATAAAAATATATTCTATTTTTGGAGAATGTAAGATCAGTTATATAATAGACATAAGTTGTTTAATCAATAAGCCCTCCCCTTTTTATTATTTCAAAATATTAAGTGGGTACAAATATTTTTGGTTATATATTATTAATTTTCTTATGCTTGGCTGTGCCCAGCACCCAGATAGTGTTCACTGTACCCGTTAGGTAGGTTTTTGCCCATCTTCTTCTCCCTCTCCACCCTGCTTGGTTTTCACTGAGTTTTACTTCCCTCTGTGCACATGTGTGCTCATGTTTAGTTGCAATTTAATAGTGAGCACATGCAGAGACTCACACTGTAATGTTTAAATAACTCTATATCATGAGTACCAAGGGAGGAGTTTCTCCAAAGCAATCAAAACAGAAGGATGAATAAGCACTCAAAAGCAACACATCAATGATCAAACAACTGCATAACTAGTACAGGTGAGCTAGGAATAAATTCTAAATCATTAGAGTAAGTATGCCAAAAGTAGCTAAAGTATGTATTTTTTGTAAAAATTTGGGCATGTATTTTCACCAAAATAACATTTTTAAATTAGAAGAAATTATAAACCAAAAATTAGCCTATACAATTAACTGTACTGTATATATACCATGTTCAAATCTCTCTGCTAAACCCCATTTTTGAAGATTTTAGGAGACATAAAAATCTTTCAAAAATAGAAATAATATAAAGGCTAATAAGACTGTATGACAACAACTCAAAAGATGACATCAGGCAATATATAACTACTTCTTAAACAACTATAATAAACAATATGTCAGTGTGGATTTGACAAGGCTGGGACTTCATTATAGCTGGAAGTTGATCAGGACTTTAAACAACACCTGTGGCTTATTTAAATTCCCTTTAAGGAAAGGTCCATGTATTAAAAATATGTATATGTGCCAAATCCCAGAGACAAGGAAATTTAAGAAATGCATGGGAGATAGGAAATCAACCAATTTGGCTAAGGAGTGATATATCTGGAAAAGAGTAATAAAGGAGATGAAACTGGGAAGGAAGGTTGGAGTGAAGAATGTGGAGACATTTGTCAATAGCCAAAATTTTGGACTATATTCTTAATCAATTATTTCCATAACAATTTACCAAATGTTTTTGAGTATGAGTGTTATAAAGGTAAGTGACATTTTAAAAAAATATTTTATCAGCTATTCATGAAAATATGCTTTTCACTGACATCCTAGGGATGGTTTAGCAGTCATTTCCATCATACCAGCCTAATTTCAAAAACTCATGCTTTCCTTTGGTCCACTCATTGTATCTGGGGTGAAAAAAATTTCAACCATCTTCTTAGAGAAACAACTTAGATATGATATAAAATTTCCTTGTGAAAAATAAATCAGAAATTGATAATCTTCAAATGCCTATAAGAAAGCCTATTGAAGAAGGAAGCCATTTTTTAAAATACAGATTTCAATATCAAGGAATAATTTGATTTCTACAATGTATATTTAATGCAGAAAGATTTTCCAGGATGTGAAAATGAAGGATGAGATGTGTTATTCTCAATAAAAATTAATTGTCTTTCAGATTGAAGAACACTTGATGTCTCTGCAAGCAGCCTTCAAAGATACTGTTAATGAAAAACACCTGTTAGCAAATCGGAGAAAACTGGTCAACAGGCGCTTGCACCATGCGTCAGTCTTATTAACTGTTCTGGAAGATGAGAAGGCATGACTTTCCTCGGTTTTTTATGTGCTTCATTATTTTCTGTGGGGCTTGACAAACTCCAAGATGCTATTTTCACTGCAGGCTATATCATATACTTTCTAAAACTATCTTACTCTCCAATTTCTTGGATAGGACAGTGGACAGTCCTATGGAGAGAAATTAAAGAAATCTTGTTCAAGTAGGCTTAAAATAAAAGTAACAGACTACAAAAATCCTAGGTTATTTTCTCTTGTTCCTAGGACATCAGTACTCTTTTGTCTGATGAAGCCCAAAGTAAACTTCCAATGAATATATCATTAGTTTTCCTTTTCTAGGACTGAAACAATCCAACCTGAATATATAAAACATGGGCAAACCAAAAGGGAGACAATGTCATTAGGGAGGAAAAAGTAAATTTTATTTTGGTCTGCCAATCTTCTGACCCCTTTTATCTCATCATTTTTTATTTTTCCTGTAATTCATCTGCCTCATCCATCCTTAAATCCCTATTTAATCTCAAATCCCTAGTTATTCTTAACTGGAGGAGGGATATTACAAATTTGTCAACATAATTTCAATTTAGCTTAATATCTTAAATAAATACATGTCATAGAAAAGCAGGGAGAAGAAGGTTATGAAATTGAAGGGGATTATAGCCCTCAAAAGTTGATGGATGTCCCTGAGAGCCAAGTATATATACTGAGAGGCAGTGGCATATCACATTATCTCAGATGTTAAGTTTCCAGAAGAGAGGGCTCTTGATCAATACGCTTTATTTATTAACCAGTCAAGCACATGCTTGATTGAAGAGAGAGGCTGAGAAGAGGTCAGATCCCAGGTACACACCTCAGAAGTTTTGTGATCTTGAGCAAGTCATTTAATTTCTCTAAACTTCAAGTTTTTCATCTTTAAATGAAGTCACTAGGATTTATTTAACAAGAAATTGAAAGAATCAAATGAGATTTGTCTGGGAGATGGGTGAAGATTCAATAAGTATTATCTTTTATTATTATTGAACATAATTAATAATATAATGAATTGATATTTCAAAAATTATTCTGCTTTATTACACAACAGATTTGAAATGGCTATTTTGTCTTAGCAGATATGACACTATTGACAAACTCAATAATAAGATTAATGTTCCTCTCAGAAAACAATTCATTTTTTAATATTATCCATTATTAACTTTTTATAGCTACAGTTTGAGAATATTAATAGTAAGAGCAATAATGGGTCCAACTCAGAGACCATTACTTTTTAAAATATCTCATCATTGTCATATTTTATATCAAATAACTCACTTTCTTTTTAACATTTAGATTCGATGGCAAGAAACAATCAATCAAATAGACAACAAATTGGAAGGAATTGTGGGTGATATACTTCTTTCATCAGCATGCATTGTCTACAGTGGAGTTTTATCGCCAGAATTTCGTCAGTTGATTTTAAATAAATGGGAGAAGATTTGCAGTGAAAATGACATTTCTTTGTCTCCCAACTTTTCTTTAATTGAAGTCATGGCAGAAAAATATCAGGTAGTAACATATTTCTGTTATCCAGTTAAGTGGCTATTATTGATGGTTTGGATTTTGGGTATGTGTAGTTTGGGACTGGGATCTTTTCCTCAAATTTATTTTGATAAATGAAAATATTAATTTTGTTTCAAGGCCTCAAATTTTTTTATGTATAGTTGTAGTGCCTGAATTAGCTTAATCTCTTTATTTTTCATCCTCTGGGCAAAAATCACAAAATATCTTTTTACGCATCGAAATCTTACTATCTTATTCCAATGAATATAAGCAGCTTCACTCCCTAAAGCCCTGTGCATGCCGAGCCAGTATGGACATTCTAACAATGTTGATTCTTCCCAGCAATAAGCATGGTATGTTTTTCCATTTGTTAACACCTTCAGGGGTAGTTCAGTGGTTAGGGTGTCAGCCACATGCTCCAGGGCTGATGGGTTCAACCCTGGCCTGAGCCAGCTAAACAAACAAACAAACAAAAAAAAAAAAATAGCCAGGCATTATGGTGGGCGCCTGTAGTCCCAACTACAAGGGATTTTCTGAGGTAAGAGAATTACTTGAGCCCAAGAGTTTGAAGTTGCTGTGAGCTGTGGTGCCGTGGCATTCTACTGAGGGTGACATAGTGAGACTCTCCCCCCCCAAAAAAAAAGTCCATACTACCCAAAGCAGTCTACAGTTTTAATGCAATCCCCATGAAAGCACCAATTTCATACTTTAAAGAACTTGAAAAAATAATACTTCATTTCATATGGAATCAGGAAAAAAAAACCAAATAGTCAATACAATAATTAGAAATAAGAACAAAACTAGAGGCATCACACTTCCAGACTTCAGGTCATACTACAAATCTATAGTGATCAAAACAACATAGTACTTATGCAAAAATAGAGATGTCGATATATGGAATAGAATAGAGAATCTAGAGATGATTCCAGTCACATACTATCACTTGATCTTTGAAAAGGCTAACAAAAACATTCTTTGGGGGAAAGATTCCTTATTTAACACATGGTACTGGGAGAACTAGCTAGCAACCCATAGAAGACTGAAACTGGACCTAGACCTCTCACCACTAATAAAAATTGATTCTCACTGAATAAAAGGTTTAAATTTAAGATATGAAACTATAAAATACTAGAAGAGCGTGCAGGAAAAATGCTTGAAGATATTGGACTAAGTAAATATTTTATGATGAAGATACCCCCTGGCAATTGAAGCAACACCAAAAATAAATCACTGGGATCTTATCAAGCTAAAAAGCTCTGCACAGCTAAAAAGCACTTGAACTAAAGCAAACAGCCTTTGGAGTGGGTGAAGATTTTTGCATGTTATGACTCAAAAAAAAGTCTGATAACTAGCATCCACAGAGAACTCAAATTAATCAGTAAGAAAAGAACAAAAAAAACATTTCTTTGTGGCCAAGAGACTTGAACAGAAACTTCTCTGAAGATGACAGACAGATGGCCAAACAAACACATGAAAAAATGCTTTTTTTTTTTTTTTTTTTTTTTTGGCCAGGGCCGGGTTTGAGCCCACCACCTCCAGTATATGGGGCCTGCGCCCTACTCCTTGAGCCATAGGCACTGCCCAAATGCTCATCATTTTTAATCAACAGAGAAATGTAAATCAAAACCACTTTGGCATATCACCTAATCCCAGTAAGAGTAGCCCACCACAAAGCCCCAAAACTGTGGATGCTGGCATAGATGTGGATGGAGAGAAGGGAACACTTCTACAGTGCTGGTGGGATTGCAAACTAATACAACCTTTATGGAAAGAAGTTATGGAGAGTCCTTAAGGAATTAAAAGTTGACCTTTCATTTGATCCACAATTCCATTACTAGGTATTTACCCAGAAGAACAAAAATCATTTTACCACATAGACATTTGCACCAGAATGTTTATTGCAGCCCAATTCATAATTGCCAAGTCATGAAAGCAACCCATGAATTGTGGTATATGTATATGTATATGTATATGTATACCATGGAATAGTAAGCAGCCATAAAGGAGGATGGAGACTTTACATCTTTTATGTTTACATGGATGGAGTTGGAACATATCCTTCTTAGTAAAATATCTCAAGAATGGGGAAAAAAATATCCAATGTACTCAAAAATTGAACCAATATATAAACACTTATGGATTCATACAAATGATAAAACACAAATAGTCTAGCAAAAGGGAGAGAAGAGGGTGATTGGTGAGAGGAGGAGGGCATTTGGTGACATCTTGCCTCATGTGCACAATGGAAGGGTACACTTCAAAATAACTAAGAGTAAATTATAAATGTTTTACCACAAAAAATAAATGAGTTAATGGTTATGTTAATCAGTTGATGTACACATTCCATATTGTAAATCAAATCATCACATTGTACCCCATAAATGTATATTTTACTAAAAAAGAAGATACTTGAGGAGAGATATAGTTTCACTAAACTAACAATGTCTGTAAAAATAATAATTACCTCAGAAATGTCTTCACATTAAAATTCTGCTTTTTTCCATTTTTTACACAATTACAAAAGAACAAAAATAAGAGCCCTAAAATCTTGATTTTTTTTTATTTTTTTGTCCAAATGCTCAGTTTCCCCTAAATTTACTGACTGGTGGAACGTTTTATACAGTAAAATCTTTCAATTGAAAAATAAATAAATAACAATTGCACTTTTCAATACTAACAACAGTGTACAGTGTTTTAGATACAATTTATTGGAGCATAAAAATTAAACTAGCACAAGATGTGCAAAACTTACTCTATAAGAAAACTATAAGTAACTGAGATAAATTTTAAGAAATGTAAATAAATAAAGAATGATATCAAATTCATTACTTGGAAGACCCAATATTCTAAAGTTGCCAATTCTTTCTAAATTGATCTATAGATCCATTGGAATCCCAATCAATATCCCAACCAGAGTGTGTGTGTTTGTGTGTGTGTGTGTGCATATACTTGTGTGTGTATGCATGTGCACATAACTTGACAAGTTAATTCTAAAAGATATAATAAAAGGCAAAGAACCAAAATGTCCAAGAAAATGCCAATAAAGTTGTGGGGGGGAACTTAATAATCAAGTATCAAGATTTAATTTCAACCTACAGTAATTGGGAGAGCAGTATTGTTTGTCCATGTAAGTACTATTGTAAGGAAAAGCAACTACACTGATGGAGCAGAATTGAGAGCCCAGCAACAATCCCACACATACAAAGACAGTTGATTTACGACAAAAAATAACGACCATTACTTCTCACCACATGCAAAAATTCAACTGCATTTGAATTATGGACCTAAATGTGAAAGGCAAATAAAGCGTAAGTTAGGAGAAAATTATGCACACTTCTAGACTGAGAAAACAGATTTCTTAAACAAGACTAAGCACAAAGAAAAAATGGATAAATTGAATTACATCAAAATTTAAACCTTCAAAAGATATCACTGACAAGAAGACAAATAGAAGAAGATATTTATAACACATCCATTCAACAAAAGACCTACCCAGAGTATAAAAATAATATCTCTAGGTGAGTAAGCAAAAAACATATAACCCAGTAGATAAATTGACAATAGCCTTGAATAAGCATCTCAAAAAAGAGAATATCTGAATAGCCAATAAATATCCAGGTGCTTAACCTTGTTAAAGGGATCATTACCAGAATGTAAACAAAACCCAAAATGAAATACCAAAATGCAACTGCCAGATAGACTAAAATGTAAGAGACTGACAATATCAAGTGTTAATACGGATTTGGAGTAACAAAGACTCTCAGAACTGCTGGTGAGAATAAAAATGCTACAATCACCTTAGAAAATGGATATTAGGTGCTAATATTAAAAATATATATACCTTATGACCCAACATTCCACTCTTAGTTTTTTGCCTAAAAGAAATATGTACAGAATGGGATCAATAGACATATAAAAGGTTTTTCATGATAGCATTATTGATAATAGCCAAAAACTTGAAACAATCCAAGTACCCTCAATAGTAGAATGAATAAGTAAATATTGACATATTCATGCTACAACAATGAGAATGAATAAACACTACCCAGCAATATAGATGAAGTCAAACACAAAAAAAGATTTAAAATTCCATTTGTCTACAGTTTAAAATAGGCAAAACTAAACTATCATGTTCAGAAATACTTCCTTAGTTAAAATTTTAAAAAGCATTAAAGTCGGGAGAATGATTCATTTTTGAAAAAAGAAACTCTGCTATTGGACTCAGATATATTTCTCTCACCACATGGACATTTATTTATGTCCTCTTTGCCTATAATCAAATGCAATCTACAGTCCAGCCAACAGGAATACTTGTACTCTTCAGGATTCTTCATCATCATCTTGCCAATTTCCTTTTATATGCTGAATTCAAGAACATGGAATTCTTCATAGACTTAAAAAACAATCTTTTTCCTCAATTCCAAAACTGGAAAGTTATCTCTGGCTTCTCCCAGAGAAACCCTCACTGCATTTTGCTGAAAAGTCTCCTGATGTCCTATTCCTTCTCTTACCTCCATGGACTGTCTTTGCCTTTTTCTCACAACCTGTTATTACTGCCATGAAATAGGAATGGCAGGAAAAAGAGAGGTGGCATAAAGAGTGAAAAGCTTTTCAGCCTTGACATCAGCTTCTGAGTCAAATCATAGCTCCTTCTCTTCTTCTGAGAGTATGACTATATGCAGGTACCTAACCTCCTTTAGCTTCAGTCCCCCATCTAAGAAACAAGAGTTGTTATAGTAATTTCACTAAATAATGCACATTTGGTAGATGATAGGTGCAATATAAAGTAGCTATTATTATATTTTTGTAATTCACCATTGGTAGATGATAGGTGCAATATAAAATAGCTATTATTATATTTTTGTAATTCACCATTATTTCAGGCTTCATAGACACATTAGAGTCTGATAGTCTGGGAACTAGGTGCTCTATCTTACATTTATTTTGTCTCTCACAGCGTCTTTGTTGTGTTGTAATAAATGTCCTTACAGATGAACAGAAAAGTGGAATTTAAAAGTAATTACTTACCGTACCAAAAATCTCATATCCAAGTTGCTTTAAATTGGTCATTTCTTTAGTCCTTTTATTTTTTTTTTATTGTTGGGGATTCTTTGAGGGTACAAAGAACCAGGTTAAATTGATTGCATGTGTTAAAGACCCTCTTATGGGCAATGATCCTGTAAGAGGCTAAGATGTGAAGAAGTTTATGAAATAGTGAAAGTTCATATGGTTTCATTCCAGATTGGCCAATGGCATCATCAAGGGTTGCCTCTTGGTCAGCATTCAACAGAGAATGCCATCTTCATCATGAATAGCCAGCGGTGGCCACTGCTGATTGACCCACATAAACAAGCATACAACTGGATTTGTCACATGGTAGGACCAGCGCTACAGGTGTTCTCCATTGAGGATAGCAATTACACAAAAAAAATTGAAAATGCTATGAAAATAGGAGGAAGTATCCTCTTACAGGTATTTGGGCAGTGTGGGTTAATGCCTTATTTCTATATGCTTATGCAGCTGACACCTATTTTTTATGCACTGAGCATAAAGACTACAAGTTTTAAATGACAGGTAACTGTCAGGTAAAAATAATGCAATATACATACATACAGTGAGTTTTCAATGTTCAATTCTGTTAGAATCTTTCACTGGAGTCCCAATATTTGGTAAGATATAAATTTTTTGAATGCTGTCTTTTCAACCAATTTGTTTTAAGGTGATTATTCTTATTTTCTTTATTGGGTTTTTCAGAATCTCCTGGAAACATTAACTCCTGGCTTAAAGGCAATTTTGAAGAAGGATATCTATAAGAAAAGAGGACAATATCTCATAAAGATTGATGATGCTGAGGTTGAATACAACCCCAAATTTAGGTGATGTCTCTTATAGTTAAAAATTTGAAACAAATGTCCATATTGTTTAAGATAAATAATGTTGAAGGCCTTTTATTTCAGTAAAATTTCTATCATCAAACCAAGACTGGCTATGGTGGAGTTTGGCAGAAATCAATGAAAGCATTCTATGAGAATCTAACTAGCTACTTGGAATTTACAATAACGAGTATTGGTATTTTATTACTATTTGTAAATTTGCAGTACACATTCTTTTTTTTCTTCCTGTTTTATTTTAATAGGGTTACAAGATAAAAGTTGAATTCAATAACAAGTATATATTGTATAGTGGTGGAGTCTGGACTTTTGGTGCACCCACCACCCAAGTAGTATACCTCATACTCCACAGGTTGTTTTTAATCCTTCACTCCCTCCCACCCTCCTCCATTGTGAGTCTCCAGTGACTCTTATACCACCACTCTGTGTGCCCTTCTGTAGCCATAGTTTAGCTCCCAATAACTAAATGAAAACATGAGGCATTTGTTTTTCTGTTCCCAAGTTGCTTCACTTATGATAATGGCCTGCAGTTCCATGCAAGTTGCTGCAAAAGACATGTTATGGAATTCTTTGATTCCATATCTATGTGATTGTAAATTGTCCTACCATAAACATACAAGTACAGGTGTCTTTTTATATAATGATTTCTTTTCTTCTGGATAGATACATAGAATATAGGATTACAGGTAAGAATGGTAGATCTGGCTCGACGCCTGTGGCTCAAGTGGCTAAGGCGCAAGCCACATACACCTAAGGTGGCGGGTTCAAATCCAGCCCAAGTCCGCAAAACAACAATGATGGCTGCAACCAAAAAATAGCTGGGCATTGTGGCGGTGCCTGTGGTCCCAGCTACTTGGGAGGCAGAGGCAGGAGACTCACTTGAGCCCAGGAGTTGGAGGTTGCTGTGAGCTGTGATGCCACAGCACTCTACCCAGGGGGACAGCTTGAGGCTCTATCTCAAAAAAAAAAAAAAAAAAAAAAGAATGGTAGATCTACTTTTAGTTCTTTGAGAAAATCTCCATACTGATCTCCAAAAAGGCTGTACTAATTTACATTCCCACCAACAGTGTACAGATGTTCCCTTTTCACTATATCTATGCCAACATCTACTGTTCTTTTTTTACTTCAGGTTATTGTGAGTGTACAAACAACCAGGTCACAATTTTTGAATTTTCTAGGTAGAGTCTGTCTTATAGTTGTGTCCCACACCCAAAAAGTGTGCCATACTTCGTGCCCTTTAAGTGGAAATACATCAATCCCCCCTCTTCTCACTATTCCCCCTCCCCCACCTTGCATGGAATTAAGTTTTTCTCCTATGTGAGCATGTGTAAGTACATTGGATACTTGCTTTTCCATTCTTGTGATACGTTACTAAAAGTAATGTGTTTCAACTTCATCCACATTCATACAAAAGATGTAAAGTCACCAACTTTTCTTACAGTTGAATAGTACTCCATGGCATACACATACTACAGCTTGTTAATTCTTTCCGGAGTTGATGGGCATTTAGGTTGTTTCCATATCATGAATATTGTAATTTGAGCTGTAATAAACATTCTAGTGCATATGTCTTGATGATAAAATGATTTTTTTTCTAGTAGTAGGATTGCAGGGTCAAATAGGAGGTTTAATTTGAGTTCTTTGAGGACTCTGCATAGTTCTTTCTAAATAAGCTGTATTAGGCAGGAGGAGAGGGTCTACTATGAGAGAGAAATAATTGCTACAATGTGCAGAGGGCAGGGGCCTGACACCCAATTCAGACTTTTGTGGGTAGGGCACTGACGCCTGATTTGAACATTTATAGTAGGGACTGATGCCCAGTTAGGACTTTCACAGGGGTGGGGGCACTGAAGCCCCATTGGAACTTCTGCAGGTGGGGGTGCTGATGCCTGGTTCAGAATTTCAAGGGCAGCCACTGATGCCCTGGGCCAAGTTTCATGGGTGGGGTGATGATATCTGGTTTAGATTTTCAAGGGCCGAGCCACTGATACCCTATTGGGACTTTCCAGGACAGGCTGCTAATTCCTGGTTCAGATTTTCAAGGGTGGAATCACTGATGCTGGTTTGGACTTTCTAGAGCTAGGCACTGCTCAGACTTTCAAGGGTGGAGGTGCTAATGTCTTTTTTCTGACAGTGGCCACACGTCTTTCCTGAATTGGTGGCTCACTGGAAGGGACTAGGTTCCATCCTCCTGGGTTTGCTGGATGGAACTATCTATTAGGCCATTGGAATCCCTTTGAACTCTACCTGTTGAGCAGTGATTGTACTGTCTATATCAATCTCATTAGAAGTCTTGACTTGGGCTATCCACCTAGGGTCCCTCTGAGATTGAGTGGTGGTTGTTTTGAAGTGGGAAATGACTATTGAATCTCCTTGAACAGCTGTCACTGGAGGGGGACAGGGCACCACAGTTACCTATATCTCTCCCCAGCTGAGATTCCAGTCTAATAATGTGACTTCTTAAGATTAGGGTACAGGTGGCTGGCTTCAGAACAGAGCCAGCTTGAACTCTCTCACTAAGCCGATCTTCAGGCTACAGATCTGAAAGGGACCTTTGTAAGGCTGTAGGGGAAAAGCCACAATCACAAGCCCCAGGGTTAAGGGTTGATTAATGTTACTTCCTAGGGCCCTCAATCTAATCTTACCCTACCATTTTTAATTGTCAAATTGCAGAAAATATACTCATAGGGTAGAACCAGTGGAAGAACTCTGGCAACATGAATAACCAGAGTAGATCAACTCCCCCAAGGAATAAGAAAGGAGATGTAACAGAAGATGCCATTCAGAGATAAATGGCTGAAATGTCAGAAATAGAATTCAGAATATGGATGGCAAGTAAGATGAATAGAATGGAGGAAAAAATGGAAATAGAAATCCAAAGAGTAGTTCAAAAGTTGTCTCAAGAAATTGATGATTCAAACACAAAATCACCAAGGATATGGACATAATGAGAAAATAGATAACAGAGCTCAAGGAAATGAGAAAGTTATTTGAGGAGCAGCTTCATAATACAGTAGAATCTCTAAGTAATAGAGTTGAGCAGGCAGAAGAAAGGATCTCAGAAATTGAAGACAAAGCTTTGAACAATCCTAAATGCCCAAAGAGGCAGAGAAGTGGAGAGCAAAAACTGATCATTCCCTGAGAGAGTTGTAGGACCACTCCAAAAGAGCAAACATTTGTCTTATAGGAATTTCTGAAGGAGAAGAGGAAGGTCTTAAAGGCACAGATGCTCTACTCCAAGATATAATGGAGGAGAATTTCCCAAGCATTGCAAGAGATACAGAAATTCAGATAGTAAACAGTTTCAGAATCCCAGCAAGACTCAATCCAAATAAAGCATCTCCTAGACACATTGTAATTAACTTTGCCAAAGTTAATATTAACATGAAGGAGAACATTCAGCAAGCATCCAGACATAAGAAAAGCATTTCTCTACAAAGGAAGAAATATTAGAATGACTGCAAACCTCTCAGCCAAAAACTTTCAAGCCAGAAAAAGATGATCATCGACCTTCAATCTCCTAAAACAAAACAACTTTCAGCCCAGATCTTATACTCAGCTAAACTGAGTTTCATTTATGATGGAGAAATCAAATACTTTGCTTACATACACATGTTGAGAAAATTTACTATAACTAAACCAGCTGGCCAAGATATTCTCAGACCCATTTTCCATCGTGACCAGCATAATAGTCTACCACCAAAGTAAACTAACCCAGAATTTATCAAACAAAACTTAACTTCCACAATGGTGAAAGAATTAAAAATATACCCTGGACCTTTGAAAAACATGACAACAAAAATCTACTAGCCTCTCAATTACTGTGAATGGCTTAAATTCTCTTATAAAGAGGCACAGGTTGACTGACTGGATACTAAAACTCAGGCCAGGTATCTGTTGCATACAAGAGACTCACCTTACCTCAAAGGATAAAAAAGACTCAAAGTGAAGGGATGGACATCTACTATACAGGCAAATGGAAATCAGAAAAGCAGGCATTGCAATTCTATTTGCAGATACAATAGGTTTTAAACCAATGAAGATAGAGAAAGATAAGGATGGACACTACATATTTCTCAAGGGAAACACCCAACAGGAAGAGATTTTAATAATTTACATTTAGGTGCCCTACCAGAAGGCTCCTCAATTTATAAAGCAAATCCTAATGGAAATGAACACCTTGAAATCTTTCTGCACTATAATAATTGGAGATTTTAACACCCCTGTGGCAGTTCTGGATGCATCCTCCAAGAAGAAACTAAACAAAGAATAGGCTTAACCTTGACCCTAGAACAAATGGACTTAACAGACATCTACAGAACATTTTATCCTGATTAAACAGAATATACATTCTTCTCATGGGCCACAGATCATCCTTCAAAATTGATTATACCTTAGGACACAAATCTAACCTCAGAAAATTTAAAAGAATAGAAATTATTCCTTGTATCTTCTCAGACCATCATGGAATAAAAGTTGAACCCAAAAGCAACAGGAATCTTCATACTCAAACAAAGTCATGTAAACTAGATAACCTTATGCTGAACAATAACTGGATAAAAGATGAGACTAAGAAAGAAATTACTGAATTTTTGGAACAAAATGATAATGAAGACACAAATGATCAAAACCTGTGGGATACTGCAAAGTCAGTACTAAGAGGGAAATTTATAGCCTCGGAAGCCTTCATCAAGAAAACAGAAAGAGAGGATGTCAACAACTTAATGACGTCTTTTAATCTTAAACAACTTGATGACGTCTCTTAATCTTAAACAACTTGAGAAGGAAGAACATTCCAACCCCAAACCCATCAGAAGAAAAGAAATAACCAAAATTAGAACAGAATTAAATATATTTGAAAACAAAAGAATTATTCAGAAGATCAATGAAACAAAAACTTAGTTTTTTTAAGGATTAACAAAATTGATAAACCTTTGACTAGCATAATCAGAAACAGAAAAGTAAAATCTCTAATATCATCAATC